TGTTGAGATAATCAAATATATGAATTTATCCTTGATAGATAATGTGTTAGCAATAAATTCAAATGGATCATTAATAGTTTTTATATCATACGTTGAAAAGATTTTTAGATCGAGATGTTCGATACCATAACATACGATAATAATATTCTTTTTAACTTCTGACACTGAAAAAGTTGTATTGGACACTAAGAAAAATATAATGATTAACTGCAATAGACAAACTGTTATGAGAGTATATGAAGATCAGCGAAAGCAAAATGTCATACACGAATACAATCATATTCAATCTCATAAAGTATAACTTACCTAGTTGTGTACTTGATTCATCTATATGAACGATTGTTTCATCTTCTTTTGGAAGAAAATTAACAATTTCAAAAGATATTTCACTAGAAAAAAAAGAATTAAAATTCATATATTTGAAAAAGAAAGATGAGTGTGAATAAGAAAATATTAGAATTAACTTTCTCTTTCATTTATGTTTGCAATTACATCAACATGACTACACGTTAATTCTTAATAAAATCGATTCATCTTTAATCTTCATATCTTACCTTCCAATAAATTCATCGAAATTAACATGGTCTTCCGGCTCATCGTGAATACTAAAACCAAAGAGAGATGGAGTGGCAGAAGCGTAACCCGACGTAGCAGTCAAAATGGATTCAGATATCGATGGAGGGATGGAGGGAACAGGAGAAGTTGCTCTGGAAGTCGTTACCGATTCATTATCTTGCTTTACTATGAGCCATCGTAGAACGAGTGCTGCTAATGAAAACACTGGCCGTCGTGCTAGTTGTGCTCCTCTATCCTTGACTACATATCCATAACTTTGTTTATCAGGTTTCCGTTCCCATTCGAGAGTAATGAATTCCATAGCTCTTTCAACATCTCGCCGATCGAACCATTTCCGTCCGTTTTTAAAAAGAATTTGTGATGCACATTCGTTGTTTACGCAGACAGGATAGATTACTGACGAATCTGCAAATATGAAACGATTGAGTACGGATGGCAGCAAAACATTTTTATTGTTGGTCGAAAATAGTTCAAAAAAAAAATTTGTGGCGACTTCATGTAAATCATCAGGTTTATACTTATGACGACGGTAGCTTGGTAAATTATACTCGGTCCTTTTATTCAAATCGAAAAGGATTTGCTGTTTATCTTGATTGTAGATGAGTAAGTATACCATAGCACATCCATTTGGATTGTGTCGATGAATACCTCCCCATGTTTGAATTTGACCATCTGGACTGTAATAAAAACCCCATTTACCATGAACACAATCCTTCAATTCATGTCGACCATAGGCAGCACACTTTTTATGTTTATGGTCTGGATTATTGCATGGACTTTGACAAGGTGCATTGCATTCAGGAAACCAGCCACATTCCCAATTCACATCAAAAGTAACACGCGCAGCACCTTTCGACATTGGTCTGTATTCAGATCTACAATTTACAGATTTAAACAAATAGAAAGAAAGATTTGTTCTACTTATACCAGTGCTGGCAAACGATTTTGTTATCGCTTGTTTTTATTCTTTATTCTCCCTCTTTTATAAAACAAGAATCATCCTTCTCTTCATAATATTCACTCCTTAAATACTCAACGATATCAGTAGTAGTACGTGAGGAAATGGAAGAGAATCAGCATTCTTTACGGCAAGAGATATATCATGCCATAACAGATATTTATCTTATAATTAACGATAGAACCAGCTATATTATTCAGTATAAGTTATTCGGGACCAGGATGGGTGTGGGTGTGGTTATAAGTGTAAATTACATTAAGACATGAATACAATCCACATCCACACCCGTACTCGCACCTTCAAGATTTCTCTAATAAACTGTCTCATACAATTTATGAAGAAAATAGTTAATAAAAATGAAACATCATTTTTCCTTTCTCCATTAAAACAATAATTTTGTTGTTTTGTTATTTTGTTTGCAGAGAGTATTTTTGCGGGTGCAAAAAATCTAGTTACTAACATGTTTCTATATGCCACAGTAAGAGAAGAAATAATTTGCAGAAAAAGAAACATACAGAACAAGAAGAAAAAAAAATGCTTGATAAAGACGATGACATAATACAGAAAGATGGATAAAAGTATTTGATAGGAAGCAAGAAACGTATACTTATTAATACTGTCATATCTACGCAATACTTTTTATTTTATATTCTTTATGTTGATTTGTACTATTGTTTTATTCATTCTTATCTTGATCCTATATAGTTATGTAATTATTACTCTACCTATTTATAACTACTGCTGGTCAAAAAAAACAATCAGTTTATGCAGTTATATACATCATCTTTTTTTATTGTTAATTCAATTTGTTTCACTTTCAAGTCCATATAATTTAAAAGCTTCAATACTTTTCAATAAATTTCTTCATTGATTGAAAGGTACATATAGATATATCACGTGTCTAAATATATGTCAGCACATTTGCGTGTAATCTGTAAAGTATCTGTTTCTTTTTCTCATCGTTTGTTCTTCGATAGACTCGAATAAAAAGGTTCCCTATGCAAACTTTTGATTCATTCTTCTTTTTGTAATTTACTCTTTAGATATATATATATATATTTGCTTCTGTTCTTTTTATTATCAGTAGTTGATGATACAATATTGATATCAATTTGTATAATATCTAGAACGACAAGAAATACAGTGGTTTTTACTATCTCTCGAATGCCGTCCATTTTATTTTCAACGTTATGCTATATTGCAGGAAAGTTATGTTATCTTCATATTTATATTGATAATGATTCTAATGACCTTTCTCTTTCAACTATCGACGATCTACTGTCAATGCTTGACACATGTGAATCAATATTAAATGCTACTAACATTCTGAGTTCGATTCGATTTCACTTTGAATTATTGATTGATAAAAACAAAAATTCTATTCATAATAATAATAATACAATACCTGAGACAGTTTTTTTAAATAAATTACTTAATATTAAACAAACTGTAAAACTGTCAAACACGTCGAATTCATCATCAAAAGCACAGCATTTCGAACAGTTTTCATCTCAACAAATTAGCGAAAATTATGGAATGATTCCATTAGAATCTACACAAGTTGATCTAAGCTATATCAATATCTCTAAATCATTCATTTGGACAGTACAACGAATACAAATTGAAATGAGTTCTATAGATGCGTATCAGTTACATCTTGTAGTAACTAGATACTTATCAAAATTGAAACATCGACCTCGACATTTATTGGTTTTTATCAATCCTCAATGTGGCAAAGGTGAACAGATTTAAACAAAGTCTTTTTCTTGTAAATTTAAACAATATTTTTATTTTAGGTAAAGGACGTTCTGTATATGAAAAAAAAGTATTACCATTATTTGAAGAAGCTAATATAATCGTAGATACAATCTATACAGAACGAGCTAATCATGCTCGAGATTACATTAATGAACATGTATCATTGGACAATTATGATGGTCTGATATGTGTTGGTGGTGATGGAATATTTTCGGAACTATGTCATAGTCTTTTACTTAAAACAGCTCGACAAGCTGGACTTAATATGGATGATCCAAAAATCGATATTAAACAACCAGAATTGCGCATAGGTATTATTCCTGCTGGATCGACAGATGCAGTCACTTTTGGAACTACGGGTCACAATGATCCGATTACTAGTACTTTACAAATTATCACTGGTGAATCACTTCTAATTGACATAGTTACAGTAGGCATATAGTTATCTCGAGCATATGTATAGAAGTAATCTTCATATATTAGGTTCATAGTGAACGTGGCTTTGTATGTTTTATGGCAACAATGTTAGCTTATGGATTTTTTGGTAATATTATTCGTCAATCTGATAATTGGCGATTGTTTGGTCCATTACGGTATAATTTAGCTGGTTTCTTTCAATTTCTTCGTAACACCTCGTATCATACAGAATTGATAATAACAGAACCTCTTGAAAAATATGATTCGAAAGCATTGATTAACAATCTAAATCGACATTTATTTGGTAATACTATGCAATGGCAAGAGACAATCGGTGAAAAAATTGATTCTGAACAATCATCTGTACCATTGGTGATCAGGCGTGAAGGTCAATATCGAACAATTAATTGTCTTAATATGCCTTGTCGTTGTGAAAAAAGCAAATATGGAATATCTCCATCTGTACATTTAGGTATTCTCGCCTTTTTAGCTTTCACTAGACTATATGTTTTCAAGTTATAAAGGATGAGAGTAAAGCTACCATCAGCAATGATATAAATACTTTTACTGGAATGACTTTTTTTGAAGTATCTATCATATTTGACAACAAAAATTCTATTTGAGACTTGATCTATGTATACATATATATTTACTACAACAAATACTTAAATTATGGTATTGAACGAAGATTTCTTGTTTTTAGGTGATGGTTCATTTGATATAATTCTTGTAAAACGTTCATGGCGTATGGGTTTGTTTCGATTTCTTCGTCATGTCGCTAATGATGCTCGAACAATTGAAGAATTATCTAATGTCGAACGTTATCGTGCGACTGAAGTTATTATTCGTCCAGTTATTACTCAACAAAAAGAAATAGGTAATTGGGCATGTGATGGAGAATTGATCACTGCTAATGAAGTAAGAATTCGTGCTCATCATCGAGCACTCAATCTATTTGCATCTGGTATTTGTTCTGAACAAATCAAGAAAATTAATAAAAAATAGTCAAAAATCATCGGATGTGTTTCTGTATTTCAGTCTAGAAACAAATCTGAACTTTAATAAGAAAAACAAATTATTTTTACATCATTTTTGTATATAATTTAAAAAACTAAATTATTATTTTTTCTCAAGCCTTTCGTCAGTCCAAAAGCATGATATATAAATGATAAGTTGATGTAACTTTGGGAATATTTGGAAATAGCAAACGCATATTAACAAATGGTTATATAGTTTTAAGAGTTATTTGTGGTTTATCGATCTATTCGAGTTTGAAAATTCTAAATTATACGGATTTAATTAATTAAATTTTTTTATTGTTTTAGTTTATAGTTCTTCACTTTTTGCAACAGTTACTCGTTCTTTGCTTCCCTGAACGAAATAGAGAAGCACTGACAGTATGGAATTTAATAACGGATTTTCGAATAAATACAATAAAAAAATAAATCATATTCACATATTTTTAATGATAATCTTGTCTAAATATCATCGTTATTACTTCTTTTTAAATACCGTAGTGAGTATGGAGTATGAACAAAGACAGAAGACGTTTTCACAGTAGTTACTCAATTGGTGACTGATTACTTCGGTATACGACATTTCGTTCCACCCATATTTTACTAAGATCAATATGTAGAATGACTGAATTTCATTTCTAGGTTTTACATATTTATCGAGATATATTTTCTGTGTGTCATTTAATCACGTGAATAGATAATTGTTGTTGTCTCGAGCAAGTTTGTATAATAGAATAAAATAATTGATACATTTGAGGTGTTACAGAGTTCTTAAGGAAATGTAATGATTTGTTTTTTTTTCGAATTTTTAACAACATAATATCGAATAATGCATGAAAAATGTATATTACGTCAACAAACAAGATTCGAGATTAATATTGAACAATTCCATGCCAATGAAAAAACAAAGAAAAAGAAAAAATATCTTACGTAAATCTCAATACATAATTGAGGGTGTGGGTGTGGGTGTTGTATTCATTATTGATCCAACCACACCCACACTCACTCTGAGTTCATGAACCATCGAGAAGTCATAATTGTACGAAATAATACTTTGCGTTTATAATTTAAAATACAAAAGAAAATTCTTTTTTTTTAAACTTTATTGTCAGATTCAAGTAATGAATCCAGTTGTGATGTTCTTATCTTTGTCCACTATAGTATTAACAATTTTATTAAGAATAATTAAAATATATTATGTTCAAGATGAACTGGATATTCCATGATTTTAGTAGTATAAGTATAATAGAACGAGTACAATCAAAAACAAAACAAAACAAAACAAAACATTAATCTATAATAGTAAATTTTATTATTCGATTGAAATCTGAATCAGCTACATAGAAATCTCCATTTGTTTTATCAAGATAAATTCCTTCTGGAGTATATAAATTAGCAGTTGTTTCAAAATTCGCATCCATATTAGGATAATCTTGTATACCAATAATATCAATTCCTTCCAAATCTGTTGTATTATTAATTAACTTAATTGTTTTATCTTGAGATATATAAAGATTTCCATGAGAATCATATTCAATTCCATTCGGACATAATGATCCACCTTGCATAACAATTTCACTTTCATTTGAATTAGTTGACCAACGTTGAATTCGATTTCTATCAGCAATATATAAATTATTTGTTACTTCATCAATATAAATACTTCTTGGAAAAGATAAAGTTTTTTTATTATTTTCACCTATAATTACATATCGATCATAATTCGGTGATAACCATTTTACTATTCGATGATAATTGAATTCCGATATATAAATATTCAAATTTTGATCTAAAGTCATACCATATGATCGTGTTTGTTTTCCAATGATAAGAATTGTTAACTTTAATTTATTTGAATTCAATTTAAGTAATTGTACACGATAATTTTCTTGATTATCTCGATCAAGAAAAAATAAATGATTGGATTCTTGATCAATATATAAACAACGGGGAGAATTAATATTCCATGTTTTATCAATGAGTGTTAAACCTTCAGCGGATTTTCCAGGAAAATATTTTCGAATTCGATGATTGGCTGTATCAGCAACATAAATGTTTCGTTCGCGATCAAGATAAACTGATGCTGGTGATTGAAGCTTATTTAATTCATCATTTGGTGTTGAAAAAACTCCTGCAACAATGTTACCATTTTGATTATAATGTGGATTAGTCGATAATTGACGATTGAGTGAATTATTATGTTTTGAAGGTGTTGATGTTTCCAAAATAGTTTTAGTTTTATTCGATGCTATATTATTCTGTTCTAAAGGTTTTGATATATTTAAAATTATTTTGTTTTCAGTCAATGATGAATTTTGATAATTGAAATTGATTGATTTCTTTTTGAATGTTATAGTCACTGTCGTAGTTATTATCATTAACATAAAAATACATAATACACTAATAGCAAGTATCAATATAATTCGTTTAAATAAATTTCTCTTTTGTTTATTATTAATGATAATAATACGATCATTATCAGGAATATCATCGATTGAATAATATGAATTTATTATACCAGAAAAACTCGACATAAATATATTTATAAAAAAAAAAATATTATCATATAATATTATATTTTTCTTCATGTTGTTTATTCAAGTGTAACGAAAACATTCGATATTTTGGTTTTTAGATGACTCATTGAAAGTAATTGTATAAAACGGTAGTAAAATATATTGCGATTTATTTTTTTTCGAATGTCAATACTTTCTCATCCACGTCGTCCAGTTCATTGTGTTGGTGAAGAAGATAAATCAGATTTATTTACATTAATATGGTTGGATGAAAATTGTAAAGAAGATCATGAGGATATATTACGAACAAAGTTAATATTAAAACAAATTAATAATAATTGTTTATTTTATAATGATCTTAATAAATTTCGTGATCATTTAGTAAATAATTATTTCTTCGAAACAAAAACTTTATTGATTACATCAGGCTCATATGTTGAAATACTTTTAAAAGATTTTCATGATGGCAAACTTTCATCAATAATTATTTTTTGTCACGAGGATGAAAAATATGAAAAACATTTAAATTCAACTCATGTTATTGGCATTTGTACGGATCATAATTCATTAAAAGCATTAATTGAACATTTTTTACCATCATTAAAGTTTCGTCTATATGAAAATAGTCGTTTAAATACAATTTTATCATTAAAAACTACATTCTATGATAATACAAGTACACTTTATTCATATATTTTATTTATTGAAATATTAAAACAAGCATCAGATATAAATCAAGCATCAAATATGGATCAAGCATCAAATATGAATCAAGCATCATATATGGATCAAGCAAAGGATTCAATGATAAATCAAATAAAAAATTATTATCAAAATAATTCTAAACAACTATCATATATTGAATCTTTTCGTGAAAAATATAAATCAACAAATGCAATTGAATGGTATACACTAGATTCATTTGTTTATCGTTTAATTAATAGAGCATTTCGAACGGATGATTCAGCATTGTGGTATACATTTCGATTTTATATTAGTGATTTATGTAAACAATTGGAAGAAGTTCATCGAGAACAAAATATAAAAGAACGTTTTCTTGTTTATCGTGGGCAATCACATGTGCCAAAACAAGAATTTCAGAATATTATTTCAAATTATGGTGGATTAATTTCTTCTAATGGATTTCTTTCAACATCGAGATCATTTAGTAAAGCTAAAGAATTCATCTTTGGCGCTCAAGATACTGAACAATTTCATGTTGTTATTTTTGAAATTGTTGTTGATACAAATGAAGTAAAACATACAATATTTGTTGATGTTGCTCAATATTTGCCAAATTCTATAGAAGAAGAAATACTTTTTAATATTGGTACAGTTTTTAAAATTGATAGTTATGAAAAAGAAGACGAATTTTGGCGGATTCGAATGCATGTTACTGACGAATGTATTATGGAAATTAGACAACGAATGGAATCGATTCAAAAGAAACTATCAACAATAAACATAAATCTTTTTTTTGGAAAATTATTAATTGATATGCATCAACATGATAAAGCTAAATCATATTTTAAGATGATTTTACAAAATTTACCTGAACGTGATCATCAAGATCGGCCATTAACTTACGAGTATCTTGGCGATTTAGAAATGCGTGTTAAAAATTATTCTAATGCATTAAAATATTTTCAAGAATCTTATGAATTAAAACAAAAAAAATATTCAGTCGATGATTCAAATATGTTTATTATTTACAATCATCTTGGAAATTATTATAAAGCTATTGGAAATATAAGAATAGCTGAGAAATATTATACCAAAACATTAAATTATCAAAATAATTCAATTATTAATATTGGGATAACAAAATTAAATCTTGCAACGATTTATCTTCTAAAAAAGAAATATTCAAATGCTCGACAAATGTGTTTCGATGCACGAGAAATCTTTGAACAATTTCAACCAATGCCTTATGGAGATATTCTTGTTTGTCAAGGTACTTTAGGAGATATTTATTTCAAAGAAAAACGATATGATATTGCTGAAAGTTTTTATCTTGTTGCATTTGAAATGGGAAAAAAATATTTATCCATTGGTGATCCACGTTTGATTCATTGTATTTATGCACTTGCTGATCTTTATCATAAACAAAAAAAACAAATTTGTCCATTGGAATTTTGTACAGAACAATTACAAATTTATCAAAAATATTTATCAAATACAAAACATATTTGTATTGCACAAATTTATTTGAAAATGGCTGATTTATCAAATGATATTTATTATTATCGAAAAGCAAAAGAAATTTTTGATAATAATAAACGTTTTGATTATTTATCAACAGCAAAATGTCTTGTTAAATTAGCAGAATTTAATGAAAATCATCAAAATATTATTCTTTATTGTCAAGCATTGGAAATCTATCGAAAAATTTATCCATCTAACCATGCGGTGTTGATTAAAACGGAAAAAGAATTAAAGAAATTGAAACAAATAAAAAGAACACGTCAATATATCGTAGCAGAAAGTGGATTAGATCTAACTCCATTGATTAATGATTAAGTTAATCAAGAGGTAGAAAAAGAAAAACTATTTATTTCAGACCCCAGACGATTGTCATTAAGAAACTATGAGAATTTTAACTTAAATAAACTTTCTTCTAGAAAACTTGTTTGAATACATATAATATGTCTTTTCTGTGATTTTTTAGATGAGAAATTTTAATGATGATAATCTATATGATAATCCATTAATACCTCCTCCACCTTATATTCCTCTTTCTCCTTCCGATAATGATAACAACCCTGTAGCTAACAAATATCCTATTCTAACAAAAAAACGAATTCTAATTGGTTGTCTAATTGGATCGTCATTAGCAATTTTATCAATAATTTCAATCAAATCAGTTTTATCGATAAAATCATCTACAATATATGATACGACGACAACAAGAACCACTACACTGAATCAATCACCAACAAGTAAGATCAATGATTTCTTGTAAGAATAATTTAAATTTTACATTTTAGCATCAACAGAAACGGTTTCTTCTTCTTCTTCTAAATCATGTCCTATTTCAGCTGTAAATGCAGCATGGAATAATTCAGGTATTGTATTTGTTAATCCACTTGCTCGATGTCTTTCAAATGAAACTGGTTTATGTGATCCAAGAGATTTATTTATCGATGATATTCATGATACTCTCTATATTGCTGATATGGGAAATAATCGAATACAAAAATACTTATTAAATGAAACATATAATTCGGAAGTCGGTGCAACTGGTATTACTGTTGCTAGCAAAGATCTTATTTTACCACAATCTGTTTTTGTTGATATTCATACCGAAGATATGTATATTATGGATTTTGATCAGAAAGTCTCATATGTACCAGAAAAATATGTATCAGGAAAACTTGTACCAGCAAAATATGCATCTTATCGAGTTCATTTATGGAAGAAAAATGATAATGTTGGAAGAATTTTATTTAATGAATCAGGTGTTGATGTTAATGGTATGTCAAAATTATAAATTCCCTATGTTATTCGTACAAAAATTAATATTGTATTCTCAAAAACGATCTAATTCTTTGAATCATATGTCCATGAGATACATGGATATATATGATACATATACAATTCCCCCATCTTTATGGATACGTAGTTGAGATGGTACAAATCGAGATAGATCATTTCGAAAACGACATAAATAGATTCTATTTTTTCGATTTAAGATTTCGTAATTACTGTCATCAGAAAATATCATGCTTGAGCAATCTTGTTCTGACCAATTTCAATGTTCGTAACACCACTTAAGTCGTGCTCGTTGTGCAGGAGTTATTTTAGGTTTCTTTAGTGCATTGTAATATACCATATCAAATTCTCGAAGCATACGACTGATAGTTTGACGACTAATCGTTAAACTCAATTCTGTATAAACGTATCGAACGAGATCATCAAAGGAAAACGTATCGTCCCGAAGTTGTTCAAGTTTAATAAACGTTTTTGACGATCAGTTAATTTAGGTGGACGTCCAGCACCAGGTTTCGCAGCCACCATATAAAATTCATGATATTTTCTGATAGTTTAACGAATACAACGACGTGAAATTTCATATTTATGTGTCGTATATATTCATGTATCTGGCGGATATATGATTTAAAGAATTAGATGGTTTTTGAAAATACAATATTAATTTTTTGCGAATAACATAGGGGATCTATAGTTTAATATAACCTGTATCTGTAGGTATAACTGATCATTGTCTTACATTGGATAAACAAATGAATATATATGTTGGAACAAGATATTATATTAAAAAATGGTTAGTATCAACAAATTATACTGAAAAAGTTGTTGTTGCTGGAAAGAATCAAAACAATTCGAGACAATCCACTGATCTGTATGATCCAGTTGGGTTTTTTATTACTGATGATTTGACATTATATATAGCTGACTGGGAAAACAAACGTATTCAAAAATGGACAGTTAATGCAACGGAAGGTACGACAGTGATAGAAAACTTAATGTATGTTGTGGGATTAACAATGGATTGTAATGGATATCTTTATTTTACTGACACTAACACTGAAGTTATTTATCAATTAAATATGGTGGCAAATCAGAAACGAGTGATTGTTCGAAATGAAGATAATTTAAAAAATCTTATATATTATTGGCCATTAGCGATTAAAATAGATAGATTAGGCAATCTTTTTGTTACAGGTAATAATCAATTACATAAGTTTTCCATCTTACACAAATAATATTTGAATTGTTTTTTACTTATCTTCATTTTCATGAATAAAAAGATTATATGTACAGTCTATTTTGAGTTCCGAATGGGTGTGAGTGTGGGTGAGGGTGGGTGTGGGTGTGGGCGAGGGTGGGTGTGGGTGTGGGTGTGAGTGATGTGGGTGTGGTTAATGAGGAGAAATAATACCTACACCCATCCACACCCACCCTCAATCTAGTGTATAGAAATATATATAACGTTGATATTTACTACTTATCTGTTTCAGAGTGTTATCGTTGTTAACGGTTATAAACATCTTAACCGTTTACTGTATGTAAAGTGTTGTTCTTACTATGAACAGACTTATTCAAAAATACATTTCGTATCAATATTTTCTCCTATCTTATAATCTATCCTTCAAGAATCATCATGATCACAGATAGTTTTTACTTGACTTCAAATTCAGAATGGTCAAGAATCTTCTTCTTAATACTACTTTACCTTTCTCTTAATTGTTTCGATGCTCAAGGTGTCATATATTTTGCAAGATATAACAGAGAAAATCATAAATCTTTACAATACATTACACATTGTTTCTCCAAAATCAACGAGCAAATATTTTCATCATATAGAACAACTTGGTCGTTTTGCTAAACTATGTATATAATTTTTTGTTTTCTTTCATGAATATTCGATTCTTATTTAATTATACTTAGAAATTACGATTATTTTCATTAACGAGAAGCTTTTCAAGATAGGATGAAATTTTATTTTATATTATTGTACGTTTGGATGTGGGTGTGAATGTTGATCTGGTCTTACGCCGGCACCCACACCCACCCTGTGAGTGTAGGAGTAGAAGGAGAAAAACTTTACTTCTCCACACCCACACCCACACCCACCCTCAAGATGAATCAATTAAATCATATAATAATAATTAAAGTGAAGTATATTTTATTTCGTTTTATGATTCGTAAATTATGATTCTTTTCTGCATAGTTATTTGGTGAATTACTAGACATTTAAAATGTTTATTCAGTAAATTAAAAAATTTAATCCAAAATTTGAATTTTGTTTTATTACCGTGAGTGTATTGCCCAGGTGTTATTTCTGTTCTACCCCCACACACACTTCTTTCACGTCTTCTAAGGCGACGTTTCAGATGGTCTGAATGATCGGCCTGAGGTAACTTCGTACTTGGTGACCATATGCATAAAGATCATTTATTTATTAAAACGAATATTTATTTTTAGTCATTTCGTGCATATATATCATGCAACTGGAATTAATCTAAAGAAAGGGATGATATTCGCTGTTTCGCGTGAATTAATAGATGAACTTTTATGTGTTGATACCAGCATGCATGTAAGATTTTTCTATTTTTTCTATAAGTATTATCATTTATATTATAGATCAATAATAATAATGATACAGAATTAAAGAGAATTAATCATAATTTAAATGAAACTGTTGATAAATTAATAAAAGACAATGATCAATTGATAACAAATGCTAATACTTTGTTGAATGAAAAAGAAGAACAATATAAACAATTAAATGAAGTTAGTGAACGTTTAAATAGCCAAACAATATTAAATGAACAATTATCAAGAAAATTAAATAAATATGAACAGAGATTTGTCAAACTGGAAATGGATTTTCAAGAAGAGAAACTCACGAATAAACAATTAGTTGAAAATGTTTAGAATTTAAAAAATGAAATGGACAACAAGGACAAAGTAAATAAATATTTTTTTATTTTATTTATAATACTTTATCATATACTGTGCCTTAGGAGATTACAGAAATTCGTGCACAAATGAACGATTTGATTTTGCATATTAGCTATGGAGACAAACTAAAACAGGTGGCTAATGAAGATGAACTGAAACAAAGTAAAATAATTATAAAAAAACACGTGACACACGTCGTAAATAAAAAATAATATGTAATCAATTTTTGTATTTTATTTCGATTATTTAATTTTGGTTTTTTGTAAAATAAAATAAATTGATTTTAAGAAATTAAAATTTTATTTAAGAAACAAATCGTTGTAGAATATATAATATAGATCACAAAATAATTAAAGATTATACTTGTGCAATTATATTTTTAAGATAAATGATAAAACAATTGTTTTCAAGATCGATGAAAATCAAATCTAATTCAATAGAATAATTTATTGATAATCGATTTTTTGTCTCAATAAAGTATTAAAAATGTAATTCAACTAATATATAAATTAATGATAATTATTATCCATTATCTTTCTATTTTATTATAAAATATTTTGAACATTTTTCTTATATTTGAAAATAAAAAAAACTTCAAAGAGAAAAATATATATAAAACTATAAAAAAGAATGTTGTTTTTGAAAATCAAATAAATTTTCTTTTATGAATGAATATGATTTCGTATTTTATAGGTAGAAAAATATTCTCTCAAAAGCAAATGAATATTTTCTAGAGGAAACTTTGGGTTTCTATTCAAAAGATAAAATATGAACGAATTCTCTCAGTTTGTTTCCTTATTGTAAAAATTTTAAATGAGAAAACTTAAACAAATAGTTCTAATAGTGCAAATAATTCTTTGTTTATTTTTTTAAAACAAAAATATTGTATTAATATTCTTTAGTATTTTCAAATATTTTTATATAACTTAGATTAAAACAAATTATTTATTTATTTATTTGTCTATTATTATCAAATAAAATGATTATATTTTCTTTTTATTAAGATTCTTGACAATCAAGTCATTCTACAATCAATACAGCAACTGTATCAAAGAGTCCAATAATAACAAATCAAATATTAACTCAATCTCAAATCAAACAAAGTATGTTTTATTAAATGAAAAATAATTTTATCATCTTTAAAATTGATATAGAACTTTTTGCATTAATTATTTTTATTAATTAAGTAACAATTTCTCTTCAAACAATATTCATAATTTCGTTCTTTTCTATTTTTACATCACTTAATATAACATTGAAAAGAGATTTCATCCATCGTTTTAAATTGTTTTTCCCATTGAGATATTGAGAGTATTATTAAATAAATGTTTAAAATAAAAAATTTTTTGAAAAGTAATAAAGTTTTTCATTTAAAATGTTTTTTATAAATTAATGTGTATGAATAAGACCAAAATTTAACATCGCAAGTTTTATTTTCTAATTAAAATAAATATTTTTTAAAATTGAAAAAACTTATAGAATTGTTAATCAAATTAATCGTTCGAATAGTTTTTTAAAAAAGAAAATCACATTATATTAAGAATTGAATATATTTATTGAAAATTAAAACCAATTAGATTAATTTTATTTCTTTGTGATAGCAGATATTTTCAAATTTTTCTGTATATTATAATTATTTGATTAATTATTTTAAAAAAAAATCTGTTTCACAAATAATATTCTCATTTCATTAATGGAATGTATTGAGAATATTTAATATTTATGCTATTAATTAGAATAATTCATATTTCTTCTCCTTAAAACTAAATGAAAACTTCAAATCATTTTCTTAATTATTTATTCAATATTTTAACGTTTTTTATTTACTTAGAAATTATTTATTTTTACTTTCTCTTTTTTTCATCAAATAAAATATTCGAAATTTTCTGAGGATTTATAAAATTATTGATCATACCGACTATTTCTACTATGAACATTTAAATTAATTTCATATTTTTATATTATTAAAATATAAAATCATCTACAATTCTTTTCTTAAACATAAAACTAAACAAATCAAAATAAGATAAAAAAAGGGTGTGGGTGTAATAGGAATATATAATAGTAGCTTTTACACTCATATGTAGATATAGAGTGAGAGAATCTGGAGAGAAAAATGACTAATTCTGGCTTTTAACATAAGACATCAAAAATTGCTTAGAATATTGTGAGAAAGACAAATAGAGCAAAATAATTTTTCTTTTACTTGAGTATCAAATATAACAAGTATTATTGTAGTTCTATAGAAAAATGATAAAATTACAATAGTTACACGGTAATCTATGATTTAGTATCAATCAAGAACTAATCACTTACTTGTTTGTATTGTAGTAGATTTCGATAAAAATTATAGCAGTAGTAAAGCAAAAAGTGTTTCAAGGGAAAGAATAAATATTATAATATTCAATACATAAACTGAAAAATATACCTTCATTTTTTTCGCTTCATAATTTTGTCTATGATTTGATGAAGGCCATTCATCAGCTATCTTAATTGTATAGAAAAAATAGCTTTATTTTTACGAGAACTAGTAAATTGAAATGAACTGTAAGAGCTATCATTCTATAAGATTTCAAAAATAATATGATCATATCGTACTGAACCCTTGATTTGTCATTGTTCATCATGTAGCTAATCGTCAATAAATTGTTAAAATTAGTATACAGGACAAAATCGTTTCGAAATTTATTACTTGAAATAATGAAATGATTATAGAACAAACTGATAGAAATACACAAATATTCTTGATTTTTGTATCAGCCATTGTTTACTTGATATTTTCTGATATAATTTATACGAAATTATTTTAATATATTTATTAACGAATACAAAATAGCTATGTATAATATTAATTGATTTTATTTTTATGAAGCAGGGTTATATATAACTTCGTTTGTATTCATTTTACTTGTAGTTATAGTTCGTGAGATTTAGTTAGTATGTTAAATAATTTATATTGATAAAAATCAATTTCTTGATATTAAGATCTGTATTCAATCTTCAATTAATTATAATTAACTAAGATAAAAACACATAAACCCTTGCCATTGGCAAAAAACATCTATGAATCAGATAACCATTTGTGATATGTATATGGATATCGTTCATGACTGGAACAATTATGAAACAATGATAAGCATTTAATTATCCATCATCACAAATAAATTATTTTCAAGATTTTACAAAAAAATCATATAGAAAGGTAGAACATTCTTTGATTCCACGACTACTATTTTTGGTATGTCCTAAGTTATAATGAGCGTACTAGTACAATTATTACATGAAAAAATCACGTTTGATGACACAATGAATAATTTTCTGGTTCAATAGTTTAAAAGTCAATCTTGTTTTTGTCGTGCTA